GGATAATGCCTGATGGGCTAATCTTGCATCTGCCCACAGTCCCTGGGTGTTACAAGGTGGCTTGGCCCAGGGACCACTTAGTGTAAGTGTTGGGCCCATAGAGCTCATTTGACAAGGTTAGTATCATCTTCTTTCAAGGGTTCATCGTATTAGGGTCATTGTATTAATGTTTCAGTAGCTCCTTTCACCATGACAAGACTCCATTTGACATTGTTTGACCCTAACATGTTGCTGAATCTTTGCATTAGTTTTATATGTTGTTTGAATATTTTATAATGATGACATTATGGGTTGTCCCATTGGCCTGAATGATTGAATAATGACCTGTTGACTAAGAGTAAATAGCTGTATAAATTTCTAGCCAGGTTTTAAAACACTGGGTTTTTGACTAGTTCTCAAAAACAAACCTTCCTTAATGTTTCTTTTCATTTAATCCCCTTCTTATACGTAAAATCTTTCTATTTTCTGCTGACCCTAATAACTTATTTGAGCCATGTCTTGGTGATGGACCCCACTCCTTTAAACCTTCCTAAGAAATTCATATTTTCCCCTACTTTTAATCCCTCTAGATCGTTCGACTTCCCATCTCCAGCTCAATCATATTTTCCCCTACTTTTAAACTTGTCCCTTATCAAAGTGCTAGAACTTTCACTGCTTTCTCCCGGCTCATCCTCTTCTTCATTTCCAACTCACCTCTACAATTGGCTGCAAAGCCCCACCTCTCTGCCATTATCATTCTTGCCAATTAAAACATCAAATCAGCAAATTCCTTTGCAGATACTCTTGCTAAGTAAGGGATGGGAACGGAACATTTGTTTGGGCAGTGCTTTAACTGTTTTTTGACTTTCTTGGGGAGGGTTAAGATCTTTTATCTCACCCCTTGTTATATTTGCAATCTATCTTTCTTTCTATAATATTTCTGTTATTGATAAAAATTATCAAATCAGAATTGAAACCATGTCTTTTCTCATCCATATTGTAGAATGCTGCTCTTCTCTCTTAATCAACCATCTTCATAAAACTCTCTTTTGAAAAGCATTCATCAATGGCAGACCCATCACAACATAATCAACGTCAACTAATATCTTGCCAGGTGAATTTGGTTATGAAGTATTTCGCCATTCACATCCCATAAACTTGCCACAATTTTCCAATTTATGAAGGAATATTGCTGCCAAGCCTGCCATGTCTTTAATATAGTACTTTTAGTCATCTTAAAAATATATTGTTGATATGGGTCAGATTGTTCTTCCAGCAACAATATCTCCTCTTTTTTAATTTTGAACTCATTTTCAAGAACATTCTTTTCTAAGGAAAGATATTGTACATCTAATCCCATTCGCCTCACCACAGTTACCCACAGTGGGTGTATTAAGTGTCTGACCAGTTCAGGGGGTGGAGGGGCCCTAAACTGGCCCCTCTGAACCGGTTGTGAAAAAAAAAGTAACAAAAAGCAGTATCATTTCGCCCGATATGCCCTTACAAGCGTATCAAGCGTATTGATATTTTGAACCTTGGTTACCCGAACTAATTTTCCATAAAGAATTTCTTCCTTGGTTATGCTTCAGATTCATGTACTACTCTTTGTTAATATCTTCACATTTATCATCATAATCAATTTCAATTAACTCAAAGACACAATGAATCCCTTTTATCAGTTTCTACATTTGTACAATCAAGAATCTTGAACAAATACACTTTGATCAGTTTCTACATTTGTGTGTGACCTTCTCCTCTCATTAGCACTTGATCTTTCACCATACATCTTGGAGAATATGTATGTAGGTTTCTCATCATCTACTGGTTCTGTTCCTGCAACTAATTATTCACTGGGTTTGAGCTTCAAGATGAACGGGCAAGCTCAATCTTTTAACCTTTCACTCCTTCCTCATGATCTCCTTCGAAATGATAATATTCCTAGAAGTTTACAAGAAGAGGAAAAACACAACAAGATTAGCCGCCCCACTGGCAGTCCTATCTTTGCTACAAATCTCCTCACACACCATACTACATCCACTCTCCAACTGTTCTTGTTCTCTCCAATACTTACAGATTCCTAAGTATGGATTTGTAGTTTCATTATTGTAGAATGTTGATCTTCTCTCTTAATCAATCTTCTTCATAAAACTCTCTTAATCAACCATGAATGATTCCCAATCATGGTATGGCAGTAGGTACCATGTAGAACTACTCATCAAGGCATTTGGGATGACTTTCCTTTCAGCAAGAATCACTGAACTACTCATTAAGGCACTTGGGATGACTCATTAATATTTTTATATTTCCTTTTTTCCTTTTAATTATAGATTTTATCAAGTTCATTGTTCATCATCAGATTTACCCAATTCCTCCATATATCATCAAAGACCAGCTTGACTTTCATTTGTGGCAAACTTCCTTTATTTATCCTGTATTAATATATCCTACTAATAGGTCAAGTTCATGTGTTAACTGCACTATCTATTATTTTTTATTGTTTTTGAGTCACCTCTCCAATCTATTCTCTCTTCTCTTTTTTGTTTCCTCCTTATTGTTTTCAGGATAATATGGTATCGGAGTGGGATTATTAGGCCTGAGAACAAGATCGATCAATGGTTCCCTTCTTTTTTGTTGTGTTTTTCCTGGAGAAGTCAGATAACTCATCAGACTAATCTGATGAAGTTTTCTGAGTTTTCTCCCCTTCTCTCTTGCTCGTGTACTAAGAAAAACCCCTGTAACAGGTTCGCCTATATGGTGTGAAGGGTTTAGAAGTTCTACAAACTCCTTTTTTGTGGATCATGTGATCCTTTATGGCGTGTTTGTAGGTTGTAGATGACTTTTACTTGCTGTAACAACAGTAAAACAAAACGTTGAGTAACTGTGGTGATTGTGCGCCTTTTTTTGGGAGGTTTGGTGATGTGGGGCAAAGGCTGTCTTTGGTACTTATTATAGGAGATTTTCATGATAACATATTTATAAAAATAAGAAAGAATTTTTAAACTTTAGGAACCAAGTAATAGCTTCAGCCATATATTATTCAATTGAGCATCACTTAAAATTATCTTTTTGATTCCACAACTACTCACTATAAACACGAATGTAGAGAGTATTTCCAACTACCCATCTTATATATTACAGTATATGCAACTACTCCTTTGGAAAGAGAACACTGTAAAGATAAAATCTCAAAAATGAAATATGCTTCATTGGTTACATATGTTTTCTTTGTTAAGGGTAACTAAACCCTTGTCCACACCAAATACCTTAGCAGTGTGTGGCATCTCACATGTTTTCCTATATTAATTGCCCTGTTAACCTCCTATATTTCATGAGGTTTATAGTTAACTTGAAAGCTATTTGGAACTGAGTTATAAGGTTCTTTACTTTCCTTTTTCTTCTTTTTTTTTTCATTTTCCTTTTCCTTTTTTTTTTTTTTGCTTAGCTATTAGGAATTGGATGAGAAACATTGATATTACTTCCATTTCAATATGACATCCCATTGCTGGCATTGTTCTTCACCCTTTGGAATTTTATTTTCTTGGGTTCAAGATTGAACCTTATTCTTTGTTCAGGGATTTCATATAGATGAATAGTAAAAATTAACCCCTCTGCCTCCCTCCCCTCCACCCCCATTGTTTTCTACATTGAGTTTTAATTTATTTTTTGGTAGAAATCAAGATTTTTTGTCGCATCAACAAACCTACAAAACCTGTTAACCTATCTCAACTCATTAAAGAGTTTAAATTACTTTTTTTGATAAATTAATGGCTGCTAGATGTGAAGGCAATATAATACTTAAGCTCTTCCAGTGGTTTTCCTTATGTTTTTTCATAAACAATCATACTTTCTGCATCTGCATCTGCTAAGTTAATTCTTTATTGTGTAACTATCTTTATACTGTTAGTAATATATTTTTCTCACTACAATCCTCTACTTTTAGTTGATTTTCAGTTCATTCGCATCTGTTATTGTTTGTCATTTCTTTCAATTTTAATTTTTTTTACTCATTTAGTTTTCTTTTTCTTTAAATGTAGAAATCTTTATTTAAAAGGAATATTAGTTAGTACCTACCTCTTCAAACATGGGTTTGTATCTCAGCTTCCATTTTGCAACCCTTGGATATTAGCCAAATAGCCTCATAGTGTAAAATCTATGATTTATATTTATGTTTTAACCTCTTGTGATTTTAGTTTTTGCCTAGGGGCAAGGCCCAAGATAATTGGCCGGATTGCAATTACCAAACTTCAGGGGAGGGGAGGTTTCAACAATAGAAGATTTCAGCATAATTTAGATGCACTGATGATTACACATGAGAAAAGGATGGGAAAGTAAGACAACAGGGAGGCATATGTGTGAGTATGATTGAGAAAAGGCCACCCATACAGATGAATTTTTTATAACCGATTAATTTCTCTAGGTTAATCCACCATATGAGCTTCTTTTGTCTATATTATTATGCATTTATTGACACTTTAAATTGGGCCTCATGTTGTTGGTTGATTGACAAAGCATGAGAAGGCTTTCATGATATTAACCTAAAGGACTGAAGCCTCATATGGTAAGCTCCACTTTATTGGTTGCAAAATGTGATTGGTTGGTAATGGTATTTATCTACAAAACCCTCCCCTTCAGCTTGGACTTGAAAAATTGTGACATTTCTCTACAGGAACTCAAACTTCATAGTCAATCTATCAATTTGTCAACTAACTAGGTGAAGTATAGTGATGATAAGCGGAAGTTCAGCCCCATTTATTAAATTAAGTCATGTGTCTACATTCAAGTCTCTATTTGTATAAAGGTGTGGAAAGGGATCTTATTGTCTGCCTACATGTGTGGAAAGGGGCCTTATTGCCTACCTACATGTTTTAAGTCTTTACCAGTGGAAGGATATTAAGATGTACCAACAGAAAATAAAGACATGATCTAGCAGTGTGAACGAATGAGATTAACATCCATACCATATATTTCGGCTCCATATACTTGTGGTCAAAAGCAAATTTGGCCACCGAACTGAATGGTATGTTCCTTATGAACTCGTTTACTACCTTTCAACGAACCTGGTTAGTGCATCATTAAAGTATTCAACACTCTAATTAATCAAAAAATTGATTATTGTACAAGTGTATTGAATTTTTTTCAAATTTTTAATTTTCCATACTTTAATCATTATCATGACAACTCCCACGTGCAACACACGTGCCCACTTACTAGTATTGAAAGTGTCACAATTAAAACATTCCAAACCTTTACTCATTCCAACCTTTGACCAATTCATGACCAGACGCTGGAATTTAGGAAGTTATCGTGATTTGAAAAATTGATTAGGTGTGAACTGGGCAAGCTTCAGTGGTGCTATGATGCTACAATGTTCGTTGGTGTGTGCATTGCATTGTAGCATCAAACGGGTGAGGAAGAAAGTCTATCCAGGTCCTATGTGACCCATTTTTCTTTGTTTCTAAGGTCAACCAGAATATATTATTAATAAGTTACCCTTAATTTCTTTACTTTATTAACCCACTAGTGGGAATCCATGTGATGTATGGGATTTGTTAAGTTAAAGATAAATAATAGAAACATGTATACAATTGTTTTATACAATAATTAATAATCATCTATATTTTCTTTACTACTTTTAATAATTTTTCTTATAATACAAAAATAATAATAATTAATTTTAGATAAGGTTTTTTATTAAACTTAGGGATGCCAATTTTTTCCGTATCCTTGATCCCCGTGGGGGTCTACCTTGAATGGGGCAGTGATGGGGATGGTTTCCCCCCCCCCCCCCCCCGCATGGATGGAGATGGTGAAATTTCCATCCCCGTTGGTGGGGATAGTGCAAGGACGGGAAGAGCACTCCTTGCCTCGTGTGGACCCAAATCCTCCCCCCATGGGATCCTCGCTAATATATATGTATATATATGCATATATGTACACATACATCTATATGTTAATATTTTTTAAAATATGGTTGAATATATTTAAATATTTTCTAATAGGATTGTAAATTTTAATTAATTTATTTTTATTTTTTAAATAAAATAAAAAACAAAAACATAATGGTTGACATTATGAGGAATTACAGGGAGTGGGGATCCATGCGGGGATGGGGACCTCGTGGAGACGGGGATAAGGATAACTTTGTCCCTATTAGTGGGGATGGGGACGGGGAGAGGGACCTTGTCCCTGCCCCACCTTGTTGCCATTTTGAATCAAACTAATGAAATTGTCCAACCCGATTTCTATTATTTCCAACCACCTTTGGTTCAACAATTTCCCAACCTGATTGAGTTGGATCAGTTTTGCTTTGGCCATTTGTAAACTAACTAAAATCGAATGACCCAACCATAGATATATATTAATATTTTATATTTTAAATGTATTCATTTAATACAGGAAAGTAGGAAATTCCAATATTTCTTAGGCTAAAATAATTTATATCATAAATTTAAAATTTAAAATTATTATTTTTAAATAATTCCATTGTATTTTTTTAATTTAAACTTAAATTTTAAATTTAATTTTTAAGTTTAAATTTTTGAACAGACTGATCAAACTGAAAATTGACCTAAACCAATATAACCAGAGTGACCAACCCCCCAATCTAACCATGTCGATTTGGTTGTCCAAACAACCTATAACTAAACCAAACCAACTTGTGAACAATAGTTTAAGCCCCAATATTTATTAAATATTTATAGCAAAAATACATAATAAATTAAACTAAAAAGCCTAAATAACAGTAGTTTAAACTCTAATTATTGAAAACTTTCTATTAAATAACAATAAATGAAGATTAAGTTTTTAAAATAATTACTAATGAACAATAATTTTTCTGAAAGTTATTTTCTAGAATTATTAATTGGTATAAATGAAATTAGTTATTTAGAATATTATTTATTTTTTGAAATAATATAATTATTTAAATTTTGAAATATTAATTACTTGTTGAGTTTAACAATCCATAAAATTATAATACTATTAATACATAACTTTGTTGTTTTAACTATTTAAAATCTAGTTATTTTAAATATTTAGTTTTATAACTAAATATTTAAAAACTTAATCTATTTATTATAATTGAAAGCTATTCAATAACTTTTTACAATATATTATTAAATTATTTAAAATATTAATTTTAATATTTTGTTATTGAAATATTTAAATAATATTTCATTTTTATTGTTAGATTTTTATTATTTGAATAACATTTAGATTGAATAATCCAGAAAATCATAATTTATATTGTTTGTACATAATTTCATGATGAATTTTGTAAAATTATATAATTATTAAAAATATGAATATTATTAAATTGATTAAAATTATTTTTGTCAATTTAATAAATATTTTAATATTATTATGTAATTTTTTAGAATATTTAAATAATTCTTAAATTTTTTAATTCAAACTTTCTTAAGATAAGTGTAGATAAAAAGTAGGGAAGAAGATAAATAAGAATTAGAGATAGTTTAGGAGAGAAACTCTCTACTAAATTTGAGATTACTTTGGAGAAAGTTGAAGATAACGGGGTAGGTTGTTTAGGAGAAATTTTAGGATATTAGATTGTTTAGGAGAAATTTAGTAGAGTTTCTAATTGGGGAAAGTAAAGTTTCTAATTGGTAGTTTAGGAGTTTCTAATGGGGGAGATTGTTTAGGAGAAATTTGGGGAAAGTAGAGTTTCTAATTGGTAGTTTCGAAAATGACATGGCGAACCCCTAGTAGTGTCCCCATGTCAGCCGACACCGAATCGGAGATCCCCTTTCAAAATACGAGTCAAATCCCTTTTGGCTCATTCCTTTCAGGACCTTGGGATCTCCCCTTATAAAAGGCGATGCGGATCATAATAGGAACACAACTCTGTTAATAGAAGTTCATAGCCTACTCTTGTTCCTCGCCTTTCTTCACCCTTCAAGGAGACTATCACACATAGCCTTACCGCACCACTTACATTAGAATCTCTAGTTACGTCCTTGATTGCGGAAATAGATGCTTGTAGAATTGTCCTTTCCCCTATCCCAAAAGAACAACCAAACAACCTTGACAACACTAATCCAGGAGTTGAGGACCATAATGGCTTAGAAACCGTTTGAAGGGATGAGAGATCCATCGTATGGACGCCCTGATCTTGCGGAATAAGGGGGCGAATTTCAAAAATTTTTCTCTCCCTTCAACTAGGAATCACATTCCCTTAGAAAAACATATTTTTCAAGGATCAATCTTGAATCATGAACCAAACCAGATCTGAACCAAAAGAAGTAGGAGGGAGGATGTACCTGATACGGAGAAACAATATCTCCTAATGGAGGTGTTCACGCCCAAGGAAAGATCCAAAATCTGCTCCCACTGAAGATGGCGCAGTGCAGGATGGAGCAGAATCAGCAATGTTCTTCCAAAAGAACTTGACCCTTCGCAAGAATCAACTGGATGGCTTGTGAGTACAGCTCCAATCAATATTTTCCCAAAAGATTGGTATCAAGATCAGATCTTGATTTTTCCTAAGAACTGGAGATCGAACTAGGGGTAATGGCGGCGACAGTAAGGAGGCGGCAAGAGAGTATTCGCAGGCTGCAGAATTCTCTCTTCTTGTGATTTCAGCACTCAAGAGGATCTCAATCTGTGTCTGTTTAAAGCTGCCGCCCCCTTTTTCTTTTGTTAACCTAAAAAGATCAGCTCCTAATCCAATTAGGAGCTGCTTATCCAAATCATATTTGGATCAACCTTCTCTTTAGGTGATAAGGATAGACCCTTATCTTATCTGAAGATTAGATCAGCTTTCTCCTA